TTCTTCCTACGCCCAAAACCGCAAATGGGACTAGTGTATCGAAAAGTACGGAGGTAATTCAGTGTGAATGTTTGCTTTAAGAGGGCTCTTCAGTGATGACTCTGCAACTTTCATTCTGCATTGTTCGCCTGTCAGTGTTACTTTTTATGCCGACGCCTTGGCAAAGAACTCACTTAGCCCGTCACTAGGAAAATACGGCCAAGTGGCCACCGCGTTCAAATTGCGGAACGGTCTTGTCCTTTTGCTAAAGACTGCTGTAAAACCGTACGAGGAAAGATTTAGTTCTATGTCGTGACGAGTTAGAACACATATGTCGATGGCGATTATCTCAAAAACAAATAAACAACAATATCAATAGCAAATTTATCAAACGCGGTGTTAATTTATTCATATGTTCTAATGTTGTAATTTGTCAGTGTTAAAATACAACAAGAAAGGATCGGATCGAATAATCCGACTTAATAATTTCCTTCTGGTGCAGGAAACAGGTTCACTAATTTTATCCTTTTATGTCAAAGACGAGAGAATATTGGAGGAGGAAATATTACCGGACAACTCAATTAAAAGCCATTTCTGCCAAATTAGATAAGTCGTTTTGATTCACGGATTAAAAAAAAAGGACGATCGTACATTTCATTTCACTCTTATTTGAGCTATCAATTTCGTTTATTCTCTATTTTAAACAATTTCATAGGCTTCTGTTTTTTTTATTACCACCTCATCTATTACACTGTTTGTTATTACGATATGAATAAATTTATGTTAATATGCAGTAATAATCATTAACATTATTCATTACAGTTATCATACAAATCTTTCCAGCCAAATAAAATTTTCAGGAAATTTATAATGCTACTATGATCTTGCTTAAATTCTCATACTTATTTCGTACGATTTATCCCAACTCTGATGTTTAAAAAACCCATAGGGTTTTTTTATTTTTTTTAAATTTTTAAATTAATTAATTTTTTTACAAGGATTCGCAACGGTAGAGGTTATATAAACATCCAGGGTGTCGCTGGATTCGAACCCTAGACCTTCACCTTACAGTGATAAGGGCGTGTCAAACCCCAAACCATTGCGGCCACCGACGCCCCTTTGCCCATACGTTATAGATTGCAAATTTGGCTGTGAGTGAAACAGTTTTATTAACGTAAATTCTAGTAATAGTGTTTTCTGTGTAAATGTAGTGAAGTCATTTGACGCGAGTGCTATAAAAAATAACACTCAAAAATAAATTTTTTGGTAACACAATAGTCAATTCGAACAATTCCAAAAAGGTCTTCATTTAAACAATTTACAGGGGTAGCCACGCAAAATGTTCTAATATATTCATAAGTGCGTTAAAGTTGAGAAGATACGTGACACTAGTGTGCTAATTCAACAGGAGACGGTCGTTATCGTGTCGCAGGCCATTAACAAAACAGTAATTAAGAAATAATTAAGATAAATTAATTAAAAACTGACCGCCTATCCTACTAAAAATAACAACAAATGTATACTATGTCATTCAGAATAATTCCTGATTTAGAAAATAACAGGCGTGTGCTATTTCACAAACTATCATAAAGTTAGGCTTTTGCCTGCTTCTTCAAGTTACTTGGTTATAGTAGAAATGTAGAAAGAAAGAAACAAGTTACATTGAAAAAAGAAAAAAGTAAGAAAGTTGTCGAAGTAGAGCAAAATTCATGTCGATCAAAAGATTTCTAAGGAAGCAATTTCAAACAGATGACCTAGCAACTCTGCCTTTTTGCTTACCTTTGGTATTAACAAAAGATTAATTACGATCAAGAACTTTTTCGAAAAACTTTAAATAAATTCGCTAAACACATGTTAGATGCTTTTTTTCAATGTATCTACAACCGGAATAGCCAGTGTTGCGGTGAATGGCATAAAGTATATAAGCAGGGGGAGGCAGGTGGACTGAAAACTAAAGCTGGGGAAACGATAACAGACCAAACCCACGAGGATAGACCAAAATGATCATTAACAATTCCTTGATTTTATGAATACCTCATTGTGTATTAGTGAAAATATGGTGATCTGCACATTTGAAAATAAAATTTTATTTGGAATGCACTTTTATCCGCGGGCTTTAAATCGACGGGACGAATATTTAAAAAAATCAGTAAATAATTAAAAAAAAGGTGGAAACTGAATGCTAAGAGGGATTCCTTGCTGTCCAGCGAGGGAATTGTTCTCGGATGGCGTTCTGCAGGAATAGTTTGGAGCAAAATAGTACAACATGCAGGCGGAATGAAGAACTACTCGAGCCGATAAGAAGTAAACGAGTCGGGCCTCTTGTCCTCCCATCTGCTAATTAAGTCCACTGTGGACAAACTGCCTATTTAATGAACAGCCTTCGTGTCGTTAATTGGTCGTTAAAAAGCAAATCTGAACCGCCCTAATCTAAATTACAGATTGTCGTTATGATATGATTGATTTGATTGGTCGTTTATACCGTTTTGCTTAATTTTTTCGAACAAGTTTTCTTTCATGTCGGAGCGATCTTTACTCGGCGAAAAAATTACCGTGTTAACATAATTTCCTCTTGGCCAATTTAAAATATTGACATTTAATTCTATCTAATTAATCTTCTAATTGTACTAATCTAAATTTCTTAAATGGTTTCTGTTAGTACCACACATTTAAACATCACATCACTCTTTATTCCAAAAAATTACCTACTACTCTGACACAATTGGCGATACAAATTTCAAATATTTAGTTAAATTCACTAGCAAAAAATTTGTCAAAGAAGTAGACAAGATTCAATTATACACTTAAACAGACAGTAATCTTGACTGTTATTCTAAATATTAACAAAAACAGATAGAATAGGGATAAATGATGCAGCTTCTTTTGCACCTCGAACTGAATAGATCTAACTCACTGACTAGCTTCAGGATGTTAGTCAACCTCGATATACTTACCGGCGACTCCTTAGTGCAGGATCTTGCTTGCGGCTTTTCCACTCCTAGATGCAAGAATCTACACCTACATAGCCCCTCGCAGAAGCATAAAATGTGTTCTGCGGTCTCCTCCTCTTTCTGACAGTATCTGCACAGTGTTTCTTCTGTCTGTACTCCTATACGGTGCATGTGCTTTTTAAGTGGCAGTGCCCTGTCAGGAGTCTAAGCATAATCCTGATTCAATTGCGGCCGCCTGCCAGTAATTCTTTTGTAAGTTTTGCGGATGGTCCTTCTATGAATCTCTTTGTGTGCCTGTGGTTGTTCCACCAGGTTTTGGACTCATTAAGAATCCATTTTAAGATGTATCCTCTCTTGTGGCAGGCAGCTAAGCCGCAGTAGGTTTCTGGGCCCAGAGAAATATAGAGATTATTTTCTGCGGTTTCTTCTTCTTCCTGGCAATATCTGCACAGCATTTCTTTTATCAGTATTCGCGTCCGGTGTGTACGCCTTCTTAGGCGGCATTGCTCTGTCGGCAAGCCAACCAGAACTAATGAGCTATAATCCTTAACTGGAACCTGATGGACACAGTAATGAAAAAAATAAAACTTCTCTTTAGTCACCTCGATAACAAATCTAATCCAGTTCGGCTAGAATATCACAGTCTTTTTCAGTGAAGGTGAACTGCAGTTAGATTTGCTGTCGAGAGAGAAATCGGAGCGGTGTACTATATGGATAAAGGAAACAACCTGCGTGGATATTAAACTAAGAACCGAAGATTTTTATCAAAGACAAAGAAATACTCAATCCAGCAAATATGACTGACAATATGTACGCTAATAAAAAGCTTACGACTAACCAAACAGAAAGCCTACCTGTTGGGTACAGTGCAAAAATCCTTTTAGACATATGGACAGCTCGGAAATATGGTAATATTAATGACAAAAATCATGGGGAAAAGGGTGGCATTGTGTTGGGTGAAAGGGCATGCAGGCTTATGGCAAAATGAAACGGTGGACAAACTTGCAAAGGAGGCTGCAACATCAGGTCCAACCCTTGACATTAAAATTCCTAAAGATGACGGGAAAAACTTTTTAGAAAGGTTTTGTAGAAATCTGTGGCAAGAAAAATACAACGCATCAAATGTCGGCAATAATTACAGGTCACTGTTCCCTGAGCTCAAGAAAAAAACCATGGTTTTCGGAAGGCGATAGCCCAGAAAGAATGTTAAAGGAGGCTGTTCTACTATTTTTAGACTGAAGACAAATCATGGCCTATGGGGTAGCTACAAGAAGAGAATCGGTTTGGCATCGTCTCCAAACTGTCCCACTTGCGATTGCCCTTCAAATCCTTCCCACATAATTTTTGAATGTCCAGAATACGAAAATGAAAGAGAGAATCTGCTAAAAAATCTGAGCAAAGTCCCAAACATTTCCAAACCAATAAACTTAGAATCTGTCCTAATAAGCAACAATCCATCAGCTTTCACCATAATCTATGGATTTCTAAAGTCGATAAACGTTACTTTTTGATTATCTTCAACCATTAAAATTTACGATCACGCTCGACAGTAAAATGAAAATAGAAAACTTCATGGGTGATATGCCAGCGTAAACCCCCCCCCAAAAAAAAAAGTCGGTAACAGTATGACAGGTAAATGTCACATGACTGCACATATTTCCAATTAATACTAGAGTTCGAGCATTGCAGATGGGGATGAAGGCAATTGAAAGCTTGAAGTTCGATGGGTGGTGAGGAGCCCATTTTATCGGCATACGAGGCCAATTTTGTGTTTTGTATAGTAGGAATTTCGGCCGTAAAAATATTATAGAGGATGAGACCAAGGACGCTACCTTGGGACACGCCCGCTTTTACAAATTGAAGCTACTGGTATTCAGCACCTTGCTTAACCCTGAATACGCTTCAGATTTTAATCAATTCTGCTTGACACACTTATAAAATGAAATAAAGCTTACAGATACATTAACAGTAGTTCATTTATATCTAACTTTTCTTCCTAGCAAAACTTCAAATAGATGTTTACCATCTCATGGCCGTAGGTGGTATTAGAAAACAGTATTGTAATTATACCTTACAAGCGATGAAATCCATTACGTAACATGTTCCGCTCAGCGTCAGGAATAACGCCGTCATTCCAGAAAACAATCCAGCGTAATTGCCGTAATGCGAAAACTGGAGAATGATGAGGAATATATTGTCTAGTATTCGATATCGTTTACGAAGCCACAAGTCATTCAGGTGAAACGTCACTTTCCAAGGACCGTCCTGAATGTGGGTGTTCTAAAGATGAACAATGCACGGGTGGAAAAATCTTTTCGACCAAACTCGCCTTAAATGAAGGAAAGCTTTCAAAACCGGTTCGGCTCATCGAGTTAAAAGAATCCTGGGGTATATTAATTTAAATACATAAATTCAATTGTGGTATTGAACTTTTGAACACTCACCATGAAGAAAACCATGAACGTTTGACTAATGAGGCTGGTTACGCCTCACCTGCTGTCGAGTTGAATTCAGCAGCCACCAGGGAATAATATTGATCCGTTGTCAAAAGTATGGAAACACACCACAGAACTGATTTTCGAGAGACATCAAGAACAAACTCGCGATCTGTAACAGAGAAGATAATTCATAAATACGACATTCCAAATTAAAATGACAATAAATGAATAAAATACAAGTTACAGTTATTACAGACGATATTAAATTGTGTCCCATTATTCATAATAAACACTTAAGAAGGTTTTGACAATTTTTCAAGATTCCAACCACGGAGTTTTCCTGAAATGTCTTTGTTCTTTGCTACTGTGTGGTTTCGCTAAATCACGGTTGAATATTTTATGAACTACACTGGCACGTTATGAACACCTTTCGAGCTACTAGTTATAATAACAATGCGGGCACATTGTTTAGACAAGGCTGCCTCTGCGTTCTGAGTGAATTTGTAGTCTTGTGTCAATACGGTAATACTTCTCCATTATAATTTATATAAACGGCTCAACTCCACAATACGATTATGCAGATTTCAAGGTATTGTAACTTGGTCTTTTTGATAATTCTGGTCTGTCCTCACTGTCTGTCAGACGCGTATGGGATTTTCAACGTCTCTAGTAATTGGTCTATGTGATAGTTTGTTCAATCGAGTCCCTTTTTGGTGGTCGTTGTCGTCTTAAACTGTCAGCAGCTATGAATAAGCATGATATTTTTAGTTTGTATTATGTTTAAAAAAGTGTAATTGAAGTGTGTTAGTACTTTATTAGTTTGTTCATGACTTTTTCGTGTTGAAGTTGGTGCGTCTTCGTCCTTGTACGTGTCGTTCTCTTATTTACTTTCTGTTTTATTTCGCGAATGTCTTTTGTTTACCAGTTTATTGGTTTGTATACGTGGAAGCCCTTACTGAATGTTATGTTTTACATTGAGCTTTGTGTTAGTGATATTTTTAGTGTTTCGTGTATTTAAGTGCTTTCATTTTGTGACTTCACGGATGGTTTGCTTACACCTCCAATTCTCTTTAGCGTGTAGCAGTAGAAATATCAATATCGAGAAATAAAAAAATCAATCACAGAAGAAATATAGAAGATATCAAGCGTATTGGTGCAATAAAAGATTTGTCGTACAATTCTGTTTTTTGCGTAATTTTTTTTAAACACTTGTTACGACCCAAAATTTGACGAAATAATCAGTGTTGTCAATACACGGTCAGCAACAGAGCGGGAAAAACTCTGCGCCCTCCATAAGCTCACGGGATTTTTGTGTTAAACTTAAACAAAATTGTTAAAGTTGGCATCGCTCTGAAGCAACTTTGAGCAAGAAAGGGTTAAATTATAAACTGAATATGGAAAATGTTATGTTTAGGAAATATTACAATACAAGATGCAGTTGTGGGGTGAAGAGGTAGAAGATTCCAAGACGTAGATTTTAGATTGGCGCCAAAAAAATCAGTGTTGTCAATATACGACATGAAACATTGATGGAAAAACACTGCACCCGTTCTAAACACTTGAGATTATCTAAGCTTAAGCAAATTTTCTAAATTTGGTGTTGCCCTGAGGCAATGTTGGCAAGAAAGTGTTAATTTTGTCCGTTAACTTTTAAGAAAGGCGTAATTTTGGTTTTTTATGTTTTGAGATCTTTTTTAAATCCGTGTGAACCTCCAGGAGTTTCAGGGTAAGCTCAAATCATTAAATTTTCTTCTCTTCACCTCTGCTAGGGAGTTTTATTTATTTTTTTTGTATACATTTTTTAATTGTCTATCTTTGGTTTCTTTCTCTTTATTTTTGTCTTTCTATTTGCTAAATTTAGAACGAATTTTTAATTTTTTCCGACTCCCATCTTTACTGAGCGACAGGCAAATTTTTGTCTGCAATTTTGGGCCGTAGTAACAAGTGTTTAAAAAATCATGAAAAAAAAGAATTGCACGACATGTTTAAAAAAAAAAAGAAGCAACCGTTGCAGTTGAAACGATCTTAAGGAGCCAATTCGTATGCCGGTTGTCCGCATTGTGCTCGATAAGGATTTCTTGCTTTTTATTAATACTTTCTATTGTCCCGTGTTTTAAAAAGAGATTTACGTCTTTATCTGGTCCCTGGAATACACGCAAAAGCTTTTGAAAAGTTGCTGAGTATAAAAAAATGTTCAAACCAGTTTTAATATGAATCACGGTACATTTGTAAAGCATAAAGCGACATAATTCACGAACTGTTTTAGATCTTTGCCTCCTTTGGATTTTAACAAATCATGATGATTAAAGATAACGAGTAATGGCGGATTCGTATTACCACCAGTAATCCTCATTCAGCTCTAAAGTGTTTATTTTGGGGTTCATAACTTAAAAAACAGTGCTTATATGTAAGTGTCTAAAGTTGTCATCGGTATCGAAGAATTTCTATCTTTGACCGGTCGGTACAAGGATTTCGTTTTAGCTTTGTTGTAATTATGAGACTTAAAAAGGGGGTCACTATACAGGGTTCGAAGAACAAGGTTTTTAAGAAGGTTAATGGTGTCCTGTGTGAAGGATACGTAATCAGGGTAGACAAAGGGCCGCATCCTAATCTTTTCCCGGGGACAATGCCCCCCATGGAGTCGGAATTAGATTGAACAGAGGACAATTATGACAGGCGTGGCGCCAATTCTACGCGATTGGATCCCTTTTTTTTCGAGAGCTGTCATGTTTTCGCACCCGGTTATACAGCCGTCAACAGGACGGCTTTTAAAGGTATCGCCTTTGTTCCCACCTCGGCCGCCGACAACCCGTTCCGTACGTGTTGAAATAGGATCCACCCCAATGGGAGGACCACCCATCTGAAAAAATACGTCCCAACATCGTAAGTGAATGTATTCCAGTGACATTTAATAAATTTGGGTTTTGATACAATCAAAATATTCACGGAATCTCCCCTTATTTGTTCATTCTCGGGTTTTTGTTCTTTCCAACTGTTCAGCATTCTTACTCATTCCTAGGTATATGTTCAATATGAGATTTTTTTTCTTAATATAAAGATTAACTAGACAAGATCTACGATCTGGAAAAAATACATAACAAACATGGCTGTATCATCCTTCCAATAAAAGAGAAAATTGTAATATATGTTCTATGAAAATTTCAATTCTTAAAAATTGGACATCACAAACTATTAATACCGCATAATAATTTTCATTTTTATTTCCAGCAATATGTAATGTATGTATTATTACAAAAATCAAATGGTCGTCACCGGCGCCGATATCCTGTCACCTCTCATAAGAAGACAAGTCTGGTCACATTCACTCCCCCAGAATACTCGATATTCATCGGGGCGGGCTTGAACCCTCCATTCTCGCTAATAAATTACTTTCACTCTCTAGACAACCCACCGTCACTCAAGAGAACTCGATATTCCTCGTGGTGGGATGGAATATGTAATAAAATGAAATACAATTTTATATACTTACTAAAAAAAAAAAATCAATTCTTTCTTTTCTTCACCCGAGGTAGCAAAACATTTTTTTACCAAATTTACCCCGCGGAATTAACTAAAATATTAACTCAGTTGTACATAACACTTTGATTTAAAAAATCAGTATATTAAAAACACCGCAAAAAGTAATAAATATCACAAGGTACAGCCTGTTCCCAGGTACAGCATCTTGCCCCATTAATAAAAAGGGATGATTAAATAAAACAAAGTTCGTAAGTATTTTCTTTTTTCAATATGCATGCAACTTAAAACGTTGTTTGGATATAATAAATTATTTGTGTATTAATTATACTATCCCAAAATACTATTTAGTACAAATGAAAATAATAACTCTGACTAGCTTTAGATTATCAGCTCATTTAGCCTTTATACATTATGATCGGAAGATTAATATTAATTGATGTTTTGTTACAAACACATGTACATTTTTGTTGTGAAATAACATGAAAGTAAATATTTTGTATATGCCTGTCTTTAAAACAGATCAAAGAGATAGGTCGTGCAATTTGTTAAACGGCCGTTTGTAAATTCACTAATAGTGATTGAAAACGAAAACGTTTAATTGGCCGATAACTCGTGGTGATTGAGTCATCAATCAGTAGGCAGTGAACAAATAATCTTGTCATTCGTTTTGCATAGTTTAACTGCTTCGGGCCGATGACATAGGGAAAGATCGAGATTGGGAGGATAAAATGATGACTGACTCTAATTAAACTCCTCAAGTTAATTAATGGCGATGTCGTTGACTAAATTTGTAATCTGTGTATAATTTACCGTTGGGTGATCAAGGTGATTAAAATACTGAAGTGCTGAAAATCTTTCCTGCAAAACTTGCAGGCAACTTAGTTCGATAATGAGATCATACAGTCCATAGCATGATTTTGAACCGGTTCCGAAGCGTTTTCGAGCCCAGCTAACAGAATTCTAATATAAAATTGAAAACATCGTGCTGTTATTGTATTAACAAAAATCGGTCGGTCGACAATCTATTTTATACTGACAAGTATTATTTATTCACTGTGCCTAAAAGCTCACCGTATTTCGAGTAAATTTTTCGCTTTTTAAGTTTGTAAAGCGACTATTTTGAGAAAAATGTTTGGAACTGATAAGATAAAACTATCAGTTGGGAGGTTTATTCTTGAATTCTGCCGGGTGATGAATCTGAAGTTTGATAGTTTCCCATCATCCAAATCTCATTGGTTTTGTCTGCCAGGCTAGCGTTTCGTACGTTTGACATATTCAGTGGTGGGTTTGTACCGTTCTTTTAACAGAACTGATAGGAAACACTACCATTCTTGATGTAACACCAACAACAAAACGAACAAACACAGGACAAAGTGACCAATCACTGCAAAAGAAACGAGAGTCTGAAATG